GTAAGAAGCTGAACAGCATATAACTAGTTAGCATTGTGTTAAATTACCTTCCTACATCTTTAGCTTGTACTTATTAGGAAAGTTGAACGTCAGACTTCTATACATCTTACGAAATAATGTAACTTGTATCTGTCCATAAGGAAATTGTCTAGGATTTATATGCAGACAACTTCGTGTCATGATCTATAATAAAAAAGTATTTTTTCCTTGAGTTTGAATTTAGGTCAACTAGTTCGATTGGTTAATCACGGCAAAGCATACAAGCCTATTTTTATTCTGTTTTTTTTTTTTCTCGAAATATTCTGCTTTTGAAATGGAATTAATCGTTCACTCGCCAGTAGTTTAACATCGCCTGAGAAAACTCATTTGTAGTGTTGAAACATAATTGTAATTGTGTAGCGATTTTTAACATGTTTTTGTATATCTTAAAATAAATAATATTTCATTTTATTCTTTATTCTGTATCAAGACCCCTTTTAAATGATAGATAGATAGATAGATAGATAGATAGATAGATAGATAGATAGATAGATAGATAGATTTGTATTTGAAATACGAATATCCACTATAATAACATTTGAAGTAATGAAAATATCGGTGTAGTGAGGAGAAAATGAAGTTACGGATTTGTTTTTGGTCTCAGCAAAGTGTGAGCCCGTAAAAAATATCCGTCATGGTCTATCCCAAAGTGTTGGAAGATTTAACATATGAAAAAATCGCCGCCATCATAAAAGCAAATATACGACCCCCCACCACCACCAAAAAAAAAAAAGATTGGTCATAGCAGAAAGAACTAAATTTCTCGAAAGTAGACAGAGACCGGCCATTATGCAATATGTACAGCGATTAAAAAAGCGTCGAGATATTGTGAGTTTAAAAGAATGGATCCAGAACAAATGTCTGTCGAAGACATGCTAATTTTGCTAAGACTGATTGAAAGAATGTTTCATATCTCGAACATTCTAGAGCAGTTTCAAGCCCATAATATGAATCTGGAAGCATATCTGTGCTTCTTACAATTGGAATTGATTCAAAAATTTAATGCCTACGAAGGCAGCATGGAGACTTACAGTGCTACTAAAAGTTTACTTGTATGGAGATATTGCAATAAGGAACATGAAAAGGGCAAAAGTAAGTGTCCGGCCTTTAGAAAATGGTATTTTAAGTGTAAAAATAGGAACCATTTCCAGACAGTATGCACATATGAAAAAGCGAGTGGAGAAAGTGAGAAATATAGATCCTCCGATTGAAAATACGGAAGTATTTGGGATAAAAGCACAGGATAAAAGTAGGGAAATGGTGAAGTTGAACTTTAACTTTACTCATGTAGGTGGATACTGGAAGTGATGTTGGGTTGAGACTGAGGAATTTGGGGGGGAGAATAGGTAGACCAAATTTAAGAAAAATAATCTCCAGTTGAAACTGTTCAATGGGTCAATCATCAAAATTTTAGAATGCTTTCCATGTACGTTTGAGATTAAAAAAAAATAGATTCGAGATAATACCCATCATAAGCCACGAAAAATTCCTATTCACATGCTGCCCTTGATGGTTACTAAGCTGAACAAAATGATAGAACAAGGAATATTAGAAAAAGTCAGCCAGAGTGGTAGCAATTGGGCTTCACCTATTGTGGCGATACGCAAACCCAATGAAGATTTAAGAATTTGTGGTGATTATAAGCGTGAATCAACCAGATCTATTCGGATTCATTGTCATTGGAAAAGTGTGCCATGAGTTTGCTGTATGAAATCTCTATCTATAAAAGGCAGGATGTGTGTGTGTGTGTGTGTGTGTGTGTGTGTGTGTGTGTGTGTGTGTGTGTGTGTGTGTGTGTAACGAATGCACGGCCGCAATTTTCGACGGATTTGCACCAAAGTTTACATGCACATGCTCCAAGTTAGCGAGAAGGCCAAGGCCGACGTTGCATTTCCCAACTCCCATCGATAGTGGAAATAATCGATTTTTTCATGCTTCTACGGCAGTTTTCATGTAGTCTGCGGCCATTTTCTACTGGCCAGAGTGAGAGCCAATAGCTGGCTGCCACGAATAGGCAAGGAAGATTCTATTGGCCAGCGTGAGAGCCAACAGCTAACTGACACGAATGTTAACTAGCATGCCAGCATGCAAAAAAAATCGATAGCTGCATTCGTCACAAGTGGGAAAAATTTAAATCTGCATGGAACTTTACTCCAATTGGCTCATTCGCTTGCTTAAACTCAACGTTGATTCTGATTCCGCAGAACTGGGTTGGGTGTGAAAAAGTATTTGTTGTTAACATTCTTTTTTCATTCGGTTTTTCCAGCTACGAGTTCTTTTTTAAAGCTGATTGTTTTGTGTTCATTTTGTTTAGTTCTTTTTTCGTAAAAGATTTAATGTTTAGTATAGAGCTTAGAAAAAATTGGCAGTGTGAGATATGCAAGAATTATGGCATGTAGCAACATCAGCACGGCAAAGGGCACTCCTTTAAAGGCAAGGAAGGGCAAAATATTTTAAGTCAAGTGATAGCGATTGCTGTATGAGTCGTACGATTTTTGAATCAAGCACGGGCAACGCCGGACCATGCTGCTAGTACTTTGCTAAAGATGACCTTAAGTTAACATATAATCAGATAAAAATTGTTAGCAAGGTTCATGAAAGAGGTCACCACAATGAACATCTTTATTAGATTAATAAGATGGACTCGTCTGCTGTTAGGAATAAAAATGTCAAGTCACATTTTCCCAAAAAAGAGGAGATAAATGTATAATTGTATGTAGGGACGACATTGGTATTGATGCGAGCAGTAAAGAAGAGCTCAAAAGTAAAAACGGAGCAAATTTTAAGAAAATTAAATAGAGCGGATATGACAATCGCGATAAATGTTACATTAAGTGTGGAAAAATGTCGTACCTAGGATATCAGATATCCAAAGACGGTATATTACCGGATGATAAACTCATTAATAAGATATCAGAGATAGCTGCGCCCAGAAATAAAAAAGTTAGTATCTTTTTTTATGATTAACCAATTTCTATAAGAGATATCTACCGCGATATAATGGCTTTGTGGAACCATTTATTGAAATAAAGAAAAAGAATACCGAGTTTCAATGTGCAGAAAGACAGGAGACTGCTTTTGAGAAATTAAAAAAAGATACTTATAAACAAACCAGTTTTCGACCCAACGAAAGAATTGATGTTAACTACTGATGCCAGTGACTGTGCAATAGCCGCAATATTGTCGCGAGTATTGAGAAGAAGGCATTGGCGATTGTGTGGAGCACGAAAAGAGCTAAAAACTTTTGACTGGGAAAGAAATTTCTATTAAAATCCTATCATAAATCTTTGTAATTTATATTCAACCCCAGAAGACAGTTGCCAAAGGTCACATCTGCCAGAATATTAAGATGGGCGATTAAGTTATGGAGTTCAACTTTAACAACACATATATTAAAGGAAATGCTATTCCGCATATGGGTGCATTATCTTGGTTAAAATGTTGAAGTAAGTAAAAATTGTGAGGATAGGATTTTGCACTGGATAGAAACGGCTTAAATCAGCTTAGGTTGAGAACTAGGCAGGATCCAGTGTTGAATAGAATTATGAGTAGAATAAAAAGAAATACATTAAATGATTGTTCTATGGCTGAGAGGCCTTATAAAGAGTCAAGATACAAATTAACAATAGAAAAAGGAATTATACGCAATGGAAATATCAGCTTTGAGAAAAGAAGTAATTAAAGCCGTGCACGATGATATACATGGCAGTATATTAGCTACGCAAATGAGGTTAAAATTGCAAGCATGGTGGCTATTCGGGAAACGTAGAAGAGTATGTTAAAAAATGTCCAAAGTGTGCAGAAATAAAGAAATTTAGGCAAACTAAAATTAACTCTTGGCCAAAGGAAATGGAGCTGTGGACACGAGTACATATGGATCATACCTATATTAAAGGAATAGGGCTATTTCTGATATAGGATGACTCGTATTCAGGTTGGCCTAAAGTCGCGAATAGAAAAGCCAATACCGTGAAGCGGGTGTTGGGGATAGTGTTTTCGAGAAATGAAGTTCCAAAAATCTTGCTCCTCGACAAAGACATTTTATGTGCATGGTTAAAACTTATTGGCTACATTCCATACAAAACTCACCTTACCATCGCCAGTCAAATGGAATTGCAGAGAGAATGGTTCAAACAATAAATGCATTCTTGTCAGTGGATTGTGATACAGAGAAGAAGAGCTTTGATTACCATGTCATTTGCAACGTATGGAAGTGTGTGGTACAGAAAGGACAAGGATTCAAGTACTGAGAAGACGAATTTTGTAGTGCAAAAGCGATTTAGTATAACAGTGTTAACAAAGAAGAGACAGGTCATACTAGCTCACGAAGACCAATTAAGAACCACAAAAGAGCATGAAGTTAGGGAAAAGGAGGAGGAAATTGAAGCAGAGAAACAGACGACACAAGAAAGGATGAATGAATCCAGTATTAAGAGTGATCACGAAGACTAACAGAGGTATGAAAGTGAAGAACAGTGTATCCAGTAGTAGTAAGGGACAATCTGGGAATGAGAGTAACCAGAGATATGCTGCTGATTCAAATGAGGGGAATCAGTTAAGAGCTAGATCTCTTAGAAAAAGAAATAGACAGATGATATCTCCTATGGTTGTTTGTAGAAGCCAAAGATCAATTAAAGGTATGAAGCCTCTTAGGTTCAGGGAGGTGTAGTGATATGTAAATGAGGTACTGTATAAAAGACAGTACCTCATTTACATACCTACTGGAGAGTTATCTTCACTTGACAAGACTGCATCTGTCAGAAAGAATACCTATCATAACAGTCGATTTAAAAATGAATCCATTAATTCTTTAGAATTGTATATATTTACAAGTGAATATTCGTTGCGTTTTATATGTGGGTATTATTAATAGTAGTAATTTTATATCTTTAAGCAATTTGTTGTTCCTTATTGTTGATGTTTTTCGAACAAGCATTTTATCTTTTACTATTCTTTCATAGATTATGTTGCTCTCAGTAATATGCCTGCAACTTCTACGACGGTCTTGAACGATGACTGGCGCCGTACACAATATGCTCCAACGCCGATTATGTCGACCTATTTACTAGCATTTGTCATCGCTGATTACACTTACAAAGAAAAAGTCTCGCCCAAAAACTATACGGTAAGTATAATTATTGATTTTAGTAGGTTTGTCTAATGGAAAACTTGATTTTCATTGAAAATCTGATAATTGACTGCTGATATACTATAAGCAGGTTTGTTTCCGAATATCACTTTTTTTCTTTCTATTTTTTAAACACTTCCGTCTGCGTTTTTTCATTATCATTCACCTATTTGAATTGTTAATTTGGTCAGCAAATCTTTTAGATTTCGACAAATATCAGTCACGCTATTTCAGTATTTTATCAACACATTGAAAAAGCAAACAAGATCTGGTTGATATTATGTTCTGAAAATTTCATAATGGTATCAAGTATCTCGCTTTAAGTGTTGCATCATTATACTGAAGTCAACTTCGAATCTTCAATTAGACTCGACGTTCCTGGGGAGGGCATCAGACAAGTGGCGAATATGTCGTGTTGTAAATTGCGAATCATAAAAGCGATTCTGTGGTTATCTCTAAAATTATATTTTCACTAAGGTTCAATATTCTATTATGTAATTATTTCAAAAGTTTACGTCTGGCACATGGCCAGTGGAATTATAGAACTTGTGATGCTCAAATTTTCCAATAATCAAACTCCTTTCATTTACCTGAGCATTTGCCGGCAAACACTGTTGATGGGAAATCATAGCCACCAAGCAAACCCGTAATTAAAATCGTTTGCCTTTTCACTTTATTCCTTGATTTCTTCTCATAGTTCTTATATCTGTTATTCACCAAAATACATTTATTTGCTACTGTCATTTTGATTAACTATCTTAACAAAGGAGTAAATGCTAACAATATACTTTTTGTAACACAATAATGGAAACGTTAATATTTTCCATTTCAATTTATTGGCATATTTCGAAATTCTTTGCGATATTTGTAATATTTTCAATAGTAATTTTCTCAATTGGCAGGTGAGAGTATGGTCGACACATGACAAAATTGAACAAACTAACTACGCCATGAGCATTATTGAACCGATTTATGATTTTTTCACTGATTACTTCAATGTCACTGACGTTATGCCCAAAACAGGTAAAATTAATTTTAAAATTATTATTTTTGATTTCATTATTTACGAAATTATTTTTTCAAAGTATGCCTCATATTGATCCGTTGTCTGAAAATAAAGAGGATTTTCACCGATTACCTCAAATGACAGAAAAGTTGAAATGTAAAACTTTACCAGCAAACAAATTCTGGTGCGTGCGCACACACACACGCACACACACACATTCATCAGGGTATATCATTAATCGTTCTGGATTGAGTTTATTCTCAACAGAATAATGACTCACCTTGTAGATTATATTTATCCCGAATCTCAGTGTGGTTTTAGGGCTGGAAGCGAAACCATAGACACGATATATTGCTTGAGCAAAGTTTCAGAGAAAGTGCAAAAAAAAAAAAAAAAAAAAGGGGAGAATTATTTATAGTCTTTACTGACTTAACAAAGGCTTTTGAGCCCATTAATCACGTGGTTAGTGCTGAATGAGATTGGGATTTCCTGATAAGATGCTGAATATTAAAATATCCTTTCATGAAAACTTGCAAGCTCTTATTAAGTCAGATGTTGTAAAAACCCACAAAATATAGTTATATATATATATGTATATATATATATATATGTGTGTGTGTGTGTGTGTGTGTGTGTGTGTGTGTGTGATGGACTCTCCAGACCTTTTCGATGCATGAGGACCAAAAAGGCATCTTTTACAGAAAGTATGTAACTATAAGATACTTTCTATACGGGGTCAAGAATTCGGACCCGTACAGCAAATTTGGTATGACAACTGCACGGTAAATTGAAATTTTCGTTTTGAAACTCGGTCCTCTCATATTCCAAACCCTTGCTCACAGCTTTCCAGACACCACTGGCCTTTTTAATCCTATTTACTCTTTCATCATCTAAAGAAGTACTATAGTTGATGTTGCTCCCTATATATGGGAATAATTCCACATACTTTAAAGTTGTCCTCAAAATTTGACGTGATGGTACACTGTATTGGGACCGAGGAAGTATTATGCATATCTTTAGAAGTTTTGGCTGGTATGTAACTCCTGTTTCTTTTTCTTTTGTCTTTTTTTGTCATTTTGTTTTGGGGTTTGTTTGTTTTTACACGGTTATTGTTAGACCAAACGCTTTTGCAGTAGAGGAAAACCTATTTACGACTTCTGCTTCCTGGAAAAAGCTACCTACCAGAGCGGAACAATTGCAAACTAGAGGTCTAAAAGCCTTTCATCCTAATAAGAGCCTTTACCCTTACCTTTAATGATTAAAGAGCCCATCAGTTGTCCTAAATTCAAACAAAACGAATTAATGAGAACCAGTATGTGAAATGTAAGTAGCTAGTATGATGAATGACAACCAACATGTGCTATGGAATGAGCTAGTAAGATTAATGATAGCCAGCTTTGTTCTATGGAAGGAGTGATTAAGATGAATGACAACCAGAATGTGCTATGCAAGAGCGAGTATGATAAATGAAAATCAGCATGTACTATGGATGGAGGGAGGGAGTACGAGGAATGACAACCAACATGTGGCACGTAATAAACGTTTAAGATTAACGAGGAGCAGCATACACTAGTAAGATGAATGACAACCAACCTATTCAGTGGAAGGAGTAAGATGAATGAGAACGAGCATGTATTATGGAATGAGCGAGTTAGATTAATGAAAACCAGCATATGCAATGGGAGGCACTAGTAAGATTAATGACCAACAAGTGCAATGAAACTCTAACGAGGTAATGGAACTCTAACGAGGTAATGGTACTGTAACGAGGTAAGGTACTGTTGGGGGTTGATGTATTATTTTCCCCGTTGTTATTTGTTGACTGTAATGGGGCTGATATTAATGATAGAAATTAAAATGCATCAACGTACAACGATAATAGCAATAAAAATCTGAGGAACGTGTTGACATAAATAACAAGAATTTATATTTTCTTTTTGTGATGTGAATTACAGAATATTGGTATGGTGTGTGTAAAAATGTTCTCAGTGTCTCTTTTGTTTAAAAGTCAGTGCTTAATTGGTGTGGTCCCGAGAATTTTGTTTGTAAGGATGCATTTGAAATCGTCTATTTTCGATCTTCCCGGAGCGCTGGCAGACGTTTGTTTCTGTATTGCTACTTATGTACTCGTCTACTGACTACTGTTATAGGTACCCTAATCTACACTACTCTACTGACCCTCTTGTGGTGGAAGGGTCGTTTTTATAATGATGAAAATCCTTCTTTTCAATCATCACTGATGACAAGGTTATTTTTAGAATGATGAAATATAACAGAACGAACGAGTATGAATGACAAATACAATGTACTATGAAAGAAGTGATGGTAATCAGCATGCGCTATGGAATGACTCGCTCCATGAGAAAAAGCCTGTTCTGGATCTGACTCCATCCAAAATATTGCCTGTTCTATAGAAATTCATCTTAACATCCATTGAATGACAACTCCATCCATAGCACATCTTATTTCATTCAGGTCACTCCATCCAAGAACATCTGGTTTTCATTCATCTTAATCCATCCATAGCACCATCTGTTTTCATTCATCTTACTCACTCCATCCATAGCACCATCTGTTTTCATTCATCTCATCACTCCATCCATATACCATCTGGTTTTCCATCCACTCCAGAACACCATCTGGTTTTCATTCATCTTACTCACTCCATCCATAGCACCATCTGGTTTTCATTCATCTTACTCACTCCATCCATAGCACCATCTGGTTTTCATTCATCTTACTCACTCCATCCAGAGCACCATCTGTTTTTCATTCATCTTACTCACTCCATCCATAGCACCATCTGGTTTCTCATTCATCTTACTCACTCCATCCATAGCACCATCTGGTTTTCATTCATCTTACTCACTCCATCCATAGCACCATCTGGTTTTCATTCATCTTACTCACTCCATCCATAGCACCATCTGGTTTTCATTCATCTTACTCACTCCATCCATCCATTGGTTTTCATTCATCTTACTCACTCCATCCATAGCACCATCTGGTTTTTTTCATTCATCTTACTCATTCATCCCATCCATAGCACCATCTGGTTTTCATTCATCTTACTCACTCCATCCATAGCACCATCTGGTTTTCATTCATCTTACTCACTCCATCCATAGCACCATCTGGTTTTCATTCATCTTACTCACTCCATCCATAGCACCATCTGGTTTTCATTCATCTTACTCACTCCATCCATAGCACCATCTGGTTTTCATTCATCTTACTCCATCCATCCACCATCTGGTTTTCATTCATCTTTTTCCATAGCACCATCTGGTTTTCATTCATCTTTCACTCCATCCATCATCTGGTTTTTCATTCATCTTACTCATCCATCCATAGCACCATCTGGTTTTCATTCATCTTACTCACTCCATCCATAGCACCATCTGGTCCATTTCATCTGGTTTTCATTCATCTCACTCCTCCATCCATAGCACCATCTGGTTTTCATTCATCTTACTCACTCCATCCATAGCACCATCTGGTTTTCATTCATCTTACTCACTCCATCCATAGCACCATCTGGTTTTCATTCATCTTACTCACTCCATCCATAGCACCATCTGGTTTTCATTCATCTTACTCACTCCATCCATAGCACCATCTGGTTTTCATTCATCTTACTCACTCCCCATCCATAGCACCATCCATCACTCCATCCAGCACCATCTGGTTTTCATTCATCTTACTCACTCCATCCATAGCACCATCTGGTTTTCATTCATCTTACTCACTCCATCCATAGCACCATCTGGTTTCATTCATCTTACTCACTCCATCCATAGCACCATCTGGTTTTCATTCATCTTTCATCCATCCATAGCACCATCTGGTTTCATTCATCTTACTCACTCCATCCATAGCACCATCTGGTTTTCATTCATCTTACTCACTCCATCCATAGCACCATCTGGTTTTCATTCATCTTACTCACTCCATCCATAGCACCATCTGGTTTTCATTCATCTTACTCACTCCATCCATAGCACCATCTGGTTTTCATTCATCTTACTCACTCCATCCATAGCACCATCTGGTTTTCATTCATCTTTCATTCACTCCATCCATAGCACCATCTGGTTTTCATTCATCTTCATCTCTCACTCCATCCATAGCACCATCTGGTTTTCATTCATCTTATCTCACTCCATCCATAGCACCATCTGGTTTTCATTCATCTTACTCACTCCATCCATAGCACCATCTGGTTTTCATTCATCTTCACTCCATCCATAGCACCATCTGGTTTTCATTCATCTTACTCACTCCATCCATAGCACCATCTGGTTTTCATTCATCTTACTCACTCCATCCATAGCACCATCTGGTTTTCATTCATCTTACTCACTCCATCCATAGCACCATCTGGTTTTCATTCCATAGCACCATCTTATTCATCACTCCATCCATAGCACCATCTGGTTTTCATTCATTCATCCATCCATAGCACCATCTGGTTTTCATTCATCTTACCATCCATCCATAGCACCATCTGGTTTTCATTCATCTTACTCACTCCATCCATAGCACCATCTGGTTTTCATTCATCTTACTCACTCCATCCATAGCACCATCTGGTTTTCATTCATCTTACTCACTCCATCCATAGCACCATCTGGTTTTTTCATTCATCTAGCACCATCTGGTTTTCATTCACTCCATCCATAGCACCATCTGGTTTTCATTCATCTTCTTCCATCCATAGCACCATCTGGTTTTCATTCATCTTACTCACTCCATCCACCATCTGGTTTTCATTCATCTTACATCCATAGCTCCATCCATAGCACCATCTGGTTTTCATTCATCTTCTACTCCATCCATAGCACCATCTGGTTTTCATTCATCTTACCACTCCATCCATAGCACCATCTGGTTTTCATTCATCTTACTCCATCCATCCATCCATAGCACCATCTGGTTTTCATTCATCTTACTCTCCTCCATCCATAGCACCATCTGGTTTTCATTCATCTTACTCACTCCATCCATAGCACCATCT